GGTAATAATGGGAAGGATCAGAGGGGAAGGGTGTCCCCAAGGCGGTCCCTCCCTTTCTTCCTCCCCATCACCTCGCCCCGACCCCCTCTTGACTCCCCCCACAGAGGGCATGTAGAAGGGTCCTGAATAACAGGAAGCGGAGGGGCAGGAAGTTGAGTCTTGTCTGCCCACGGCCTGTGGTAGGATACTGAGGCTAACTCTGCTTTGCACAGGAAGCACAACTGTCACGGCTCTGCTCGAGACTTTGGCTGCTGTCCATCACCTTCAAAGAAGCGGAGACATAGTGCGTGTTTCTTTAACGCAGGATGAATTTTTCAAATGCGATTTTATTTAGATGTTAAATTCGAGGTGGTGCAGTCTTTGTTGATCTACTTTAGCGGCAGCACAAACTCGCCGAGTAACAGCGGCCTCACTTTCTGCTCATTAGGTAAACCTCGCAACAGAAACGCACAATGTAATTTTGTGTTACCTTTTATATAGGCCAGCAGTTGAGGGAGTAATGCCTCAACTTTGTGTGGAGTGAACACAGGCTTACAAGGAGAGAGGGAGGAGGATGTGCTGGATCCAGTAATTACACTGGGAATTGAGCATGTTTTATTGATTGTGAAAGGGCCAGGCCTGTCACCAAGCCTCCCAGCGTCTCAGTAGTCCGTCTTAAGGGAGGAGGAGGCAGACTGGCGTTCCTGTCGCTTGACCAGTCTCACACCTCGTCATGCAGGATCAGTGCGGCTCCGGTCAGAAACGATGACAACGCTCGGTTACTTCTGTTCTGCCGTCGCATATTCCAAAACTGCACGTTTGTTTAACATGGGGGTACAGTAAGGCATGGACTTGTTGTGTAAGGCATGTCTTATTGACTTTCCGTCAAGCCGATGTGGCCGTTCCTATGGTGACATACTCTCTTCACATTGATTTATGTGTTACAAACGTGTGGTAAGCATTTTTCAGAAGTGCTGGATTGGTTTATATCAAAGTGGACCAGGTGCATCATATCAAGGTCTTTTTAATGTACTGAAATGCTGTTTGACAACTTTGTATTGTAGGGATGCACTGATGTGGGGTTGTTATCAATCTGATAGCAGTTTTTTCCTACATGTAAAATCACTAAGTGTACTTTTGCTTTTCTTAATGTGTGTGTTAATGTGAGGCTCAAACTAGATATCTTCTGCAAGTGGAGGCCGTTATGTGGCATCATGCTTTTTAGGCTTGTACGCATTTTATTTATATTGTTTGAAAGTTAATGAAATCGCAGCATTGCAATGTGTCGGCCTCATGAACAGGCAAAAAAATGGAGAAAATTGGAAACTGTATGGAGTAAATCTTTGCTAATGTTATCTAACTGCATAACTCTTTCCCAGTTTTACACAAAGGGCCGCCACCGTCTTCCCATTAAAATAATTTATTATTCAGCAAACAGTGTAGAAACAATTTGTAAATGGAATTAACTGAAACTGAAATTTCCATTCTTATTTTATGGATTTTCTTCTGGATTTTTAAAATACGCAGAAATATCAATAATCCATTAGTTTAATTATGTACATCTGTATTATTGTTATTATTATTGTTATTATTATTATTATACAGTACAGGTAATTTAATTGTTTTTACACATTTAAATATTTATCATTAAACATTTAATCCCCAAAATTCCTATGAACTCATGTAAAAAATAAAACTCTACAATTTTATTTTAATGTAATCATAGAAAATATATGTATTTTTATGACATTTTTATTTTTTGTTAATTTACAGTATTTTTTTGGGGGGGGCTGCTGGAATATTTTTTTTATTTTTTACATATTTTTTATTAATTTTTTTACAGTGCATGGAGGAGCTAGAGAAGCATCAGTGGTAGCTTTAAACTTTCTGCTGTAACTAAATGGAAAGAAACATAAAAACTATGTTTAATGTCAAATACTGATGTTTGACCTCAATCTGATCCACTTTCGACGCCAGTTTCCGTCCAACCACTATCCCCTTTACAAACGAGGTGAATGACTTTATCTGCCGGCTTGTCTGTATTCCCACAACGATGTATTAATTATTGAGGTGGACACTTTTGCCGTAGTTAAGGGGTTACTGTTGATATTCATTTTACCACGTGCCTATATGTTCTCACAGAGATGTCCTCTTGGTCTCGTGTTGTCCTGCTCCTGCTTTCACGCTCGGGTTTCTCCCTTTCCTCTTTCTCCTTTTATGTTTATCGTCTTGGGCTCTGTTTCTTACGCACACTCACATGCACAAAGAGCACATGATTTAGGCCATAAACAGATACGCTGTCCCATTCTAACACTCAGGAGAAGTCGGGAGTGTCACGCACAAACATGTACCCTGCTACAGTGCAGACATTGTTCTCCTTTGTAATCTGAACATCTTCTGACATGCTTATCTGGGTGGTGGGAGCAGCTGAAAATTTCCCACTTAGTTCTGGAGATTGGAGTTGCATTATTTGTTCTGCAGTGAAGTATGTTGTGATACGCTCAACCGCAGTATACGATTAGGGCGATCGTTCAAAAATCCTGGAAATAAGGTTTTTGCCAGCAAGCTGTTTTAGATTTTGACTGACTTTTGATGAATGTGGACACTAAAGTTGGGAACTCGGCACACCTGCAGTCTGAAGCCCCCCTCTCTCTCTCTGCTTGTCATTTTGTATCTGTGCAAGAGAAATGTCATGACACAGTCTATTATTCCTCTAGACTTGAACTGTCCCGCCGTGACAGCTCCTCTGCATAAAGAGAGGGAGGAATGCGTACATGTGTGCGTACGTGCGAGCGCCTCCTCTCTGATGTTTCACTGGACTTTTATAAAACGAGCACGACTGCAGCATTTTTAGTGGAGCAGATCGTCATTCCAGATAGAGAACGGCGGCGATACACTCACGGCGAACATATTCACATACGCACACGCTCGACGAGCAGAGCTTCCTGTGGTCAGTTCTGACCGGCCTCAACAGATGATTACAGATTAGTTCACCTCAGATAAGCTCCTCTAAACCAACACGAAATTCACTTATACACGCACTGTTAGAAATGAACAAACACAGAGCATGGCAAAGATTTTCCTCGTACATTAATGCAGATTGGAATAACCCACAGTGTTCAGTTGTCTGTCAAGTTCATCGCTTTTCTGTTTGGCAGCAAGCAGTAAAAATCAAAGCTCTGACATTGTATCATGAAATCTGGCGTGAGGAAACCCTCCTCCTCGAAATGCAAGCAAGAAAGAGACCAGATTACTGGTAAAAATTCAAATTTCTGTCACTTAAAATGCAGTGAATTCACTGAATGAGTCATTGTAATGCTTAGTTTAAAATAGTTAGCTGTTTACACTAATACAGAGTTTCAGTGTGGCCCAGGTATGTCTTTGGGGGAACTGACACCCTCCGCTGTGTGCTCCCTCTAATTCGCTCTGTCAGTTTGTGTGTAAAATGGTGAATGAACAAGAATATCGTCATTCTCCCTGGTCTGTTGTGATGTGGTTTGGGGAAATTCTTTGTGGGGGTTCAGGCAGTTACTTTCCTGGCTCAGACAGGCTGTGCGTGGGTAGCTAGCAAGGTGATCTCAGTCAAGTTTGCCTACAGTGGAGCCCCGATTCAGACAGCCAGACACCATAATGCCAGTCCATCTGTAACCCATAATGACCGTGTGCCACTGGAACTGGTCATTTTCGTTTTCACTGCCAATTCGGCCCATGGCTTCCTCGCCTCGCAACTGCTGACTGCATCTAATGGCCTGAGTTGTTAACCTTTCTACATTTGTACTCACAGGGGAAATGCAGTTGTTTAGACATTTTCTATTTGCTGGGTGTAAGTGATGGATGTGCCTCCAGGGAGGGGGCTATATCTCTTCTTGCAGAGAAGCAGAGACAGGACAGAGTTAGATGTTCTCCCGGGACACTGTGGTCTGAACCACTGGCCAGGTTACAGGCTCATGTGGGAATACACCCCCAATTCTCTTTATCCCCCCTGGCTTCTTCTGCAACCCAGGAGATTTCAACTTGCCTACTGTCAACACCAAACTGGGTGCTCTCTTAATCATCTTAAGAGCAAAGCTGGCGTCAGTGTGGGTCAGCTCAGGAAACGCTGCTGTTGTGCGTGCAGTGGGCGGTAGCCAAATTATTTACTATTCAGGTGAACTTGGATGAATAAACTAGATTTCGCTGCAATATGTAAAGAGAAAGATCAGCATTTTGGGGCAAACGCTTCTTTGCTTTCTTTGCAAGAGTTTGATAAAAAGAATTTATACCATTCGTGACTGTGAAGCAGCTGGTTAGCTTAGCTTAACACATTGAACCTGGTTCCATCCAAAGGTAACTACATCTGCCTACCAGTTTGGAGGTCACTTAAACACACCGGTTGAAACCAGTTGCCAGGCAACTACTGGAGACGAAGGTACTCCGAGTCAAGAAATAACCCAGAAAATAACCCTTAATAAGGCAGGGGATTGCCATTTTCACTCTAAACTTTTTTTTTTGTATGTGAAGCATAGTTATTACTTGTTAATTACTGAGCTTTAGAGAGGCTGTTGGTATTTTGTTACCTTTGGACGAAGCCTGACTAGTTGACTCCTCTGCCTCCATTCTCTGTGTTACATTAACACACTGTTGGCTTTAGCTGTGGCATGGATCTCCTCATCCTCTCTGCCACAAAAGTGAAAACGTTTATTTCTCAAAATGTCAAAACAGTTTGCTTAAATATAGTCCTCTAACACTCGAATGATCAGATTATTCTCCTTGTATGTTTCAATCTCTGTGTGAAACGACTTGTTACACGTATGGCTTCTCGCGTCTCACAGTATAGCTGTCTTTCATTGACTTCAGCTGTGGTTCAAGTGCAGCAGTGGAGGAGATAACGGCATGCCATGTGGGTCTCGTACTTTCTGAATGTGCTTGAGAACAGAACACAGAGCCCTCCGGGGCTTTGAAGTGCCTAAGGAGACATTGTTGAGTGTCAAGTTAACGTTCTGCTCTTCTCTTTCTCTCTTTCTCTTTTGGTCCTCTTACAGATCGTGGTGTGGTCTGCCGAAGAGTGCATCGAGAAGAGTGAAAGAGTGTATACAAGTAAAGAAGAGACTGTTGCACAATGTACTAGGAGAGTGGGGGAAGAAAGCGTGTTGTTTTTCTGATATTGTAGAGGTGTCAGAGAGACCCAGAAAGGACACAGCCATGGGGCGGAAGAAGATACAGATCACCAGGATCATGGACGAGAGGAACAGGCAGGTGAGTGGGACGATCAATTTATCCATCCTATATGCACAGGTGATATACAGTATCTTTAGGCTCATATTCTCTCAGCTTCTTTCACAGGATGCTTCTGTGCCTTTACTTGCTGCTCTGTACCTGTCTGAAGGTTAAGCTTTTCCTCCCTGTCTTGGACCAGAGTTCAGCAGCTGTCATAGTGTGCATGGATCTAAACAGACATACCTCCCTCCCCAAAGTCCCAGCCAGCTGAACAAGGACCATGACATTTCTTTGTCAGTGCGGTCGTATTTACAGACATGATTCCCCTGCCACCCTGCAATTTCAGCCGGAGAACTTGATGAGGCAGCAGGAGCGCTGGGCTGCAGCGGGGGCCTCGTGGCGTGGGAGTGAACTGAGGGTAGCGAGGAGCACAGCGAGCCGCCTGTGGCCTCCCCACACTGTAGGGCTTGTCCCCTGGCCTGGCAGCACGGCTGGGCCCCTTCGCTGTATCCCTGTGTGTTTGCAGCTGTTTGGTAGTAATTAGGAGCAGCCACTGCACCACAGCACCCTCTCATTTGCAGGGTGGGTCAGAAGGACACACAGCACCCTTCTTTGCCTTGGCTACTCTGGTTCTGGCTCGCCACAAAGAGGGAGAGAGCTGGAATTCACTCTGTCTGCTCATGTTAAATATAAACTCCTAAACAGCAAAACACTGTACAAAACAGCCTGGGTCTGTTTGAAACAAGAATAACAGGCGGGTATATCTATAGCAGATATGCTGGGTCCAGGTCTTTTTTAGCTACACTACCTTTGATTTAAGAGCTAAGTGAAGGAACTGAGAGTGCTGTTTTTGGAGAATTATGCCAGTTTATGAGGATGCATAAGTTTCCTGTATCCATCTGGTTAACACCATCTTAGAATATAATTAATTGTAGGGTAATAGCCAACTGGTACTGTGACCATGTTTCTGTCCGTTAATGCGAGGGTAGCGGTTCAGTCAAGTGCAAAACAAAAATCCACAGTGTGGGCCAATTATCAGTATAACACCTGGCTCTGGGTGGGATCCAAATAGGGGGGCTGGAGAGGAATCACTCCTGGCTCGTTGGTGGTATCTACACTGTAGGCAGTGACCTGTGAGATGGAAAGAGAGAAATTTACATGAAAACAGGCTGTCGTCTGATCGCTAGGTGAGCAACTCTTCAGATGATCCATTCTTTACAATGCATATATTAAGCGAGTGAGGGGAGACATTTTGCTCTATTGTTTCCGCGAAAAGTGGAAGCTGCAGAGAGAGACGTTGCTTATTATTAATGTGTCTCCCAAAGTCTAGTGTTTGGATCAGATCTTAAATGTCTCACTGTATAATTTGTGAGAATATTTATCAGCAGAACGCAGGCATTTGCAGCTTGCTTTTAGTTGCTTTTAGCTGGCTCAGCAGAGAATCTGCTGTGACAATAGGCCGCTGTGCTAAAATAAAGCTTTGGTATAAAGTGATGTATGTGTGTGTATCTTTGTCTCTTTTTTTCCGTGGGCCATGAAGCACACAGTGCCATCTCCCCAGGGCGTGCTCCTAACCAAGAGGGAATAGCCATTAGCATATGGTCCCCATTGTCGGCAGACAATTTGAATCTTTGACTACGTCACTCTGCTATTAGCCTTCCACACGCTTGCTAATTAGATGGTATTGCTGTACAGGATGTTGTGTGTGGACGACAGGGGCTCCCTTGCGTTATCACTGCAAGTGTTTTAGGAAGGCTGTTAACCTTTCAAGATTTATAACACAAAGCGTGGCACGGGCTGAGAAGGTCTGTAATTGCGCAATCTATCAGGCCTTGAGCGCAGAGTGAAGCGCAGGCAGTGAACTTAGCTGATATATTTATATTTACGGTGCAGAGAAGTGTATTGCGCAAATATGACAAGTGAGATAAGATAATAAGAATACTACTGTTGCACACATCATGTGCAAGTTATGGCATTGTTGTGCAGCTTTTTGTTCACAGGAAAGTGTGTTTTTGCCGTGTGGCCCCGCAGACGGAGACATGAATGCAGCAGAGGTCCTGTCATGCATACTAGAATCTGCAAAGAACCAGTTCCTGTGTGATGCTCTGCATAAGTGATGGTCCTGCATCACAGCAGCAGAGTCATCAGCCAGAATGACTTCACTGACCGCAAATGAATGCAGATAACAACCAGGCAATAGCAACGTCCTGCATTATTCTTCTTATCGACTGTAATCACAGCAATTTGTACCCTTTGAAACACAGTGAGATGTATGTATTTGCTTCATGAATAGATTCAAACATGCTTACATTTTTCCTCATTCCAGTTTCTTACAGTGGACAGAGACAGACCAGCGTAATTTGGCCTCCAAGAATAGAAGGTTATTGTGCGTTCTGACTTTGGAGGTTTGGAACTCGTGATTTGTGCAAAATAACAGCAGAAACAGTGGCACTCACTGAGCATATTCAGGGTCTTTCACCTACTTCCTGGAGCAGCTGTCATTGTGTGGATTTACAGGGGGAAGGAGAGAGAAGCGAGGGTACACAGCAGTCTAGTAAGTTAGTGTAGGTGTTGCTGAAGCCTAGTGAGCAGTGTCTGCTGACGTCCTCTGGATGCCATTAAGCAGGCTCACTGGGGGTAATTGTCCAAGTCATTAAAAGTTTGATGATTTTGCTGCTGGGTGGAGGGTTGCCTGCCCTTGCTGTGGCTCATTTTGGATTTTTGCTCTGGCACGTCAGATGCCTGTAGGCACAGAGTAGCTCTCTCCTCTCTCACTTACTCTCCAGGGAGAAACACAGCGCATACCTCCCATTTTTCAGTTTTCGCTCAATCCTGAAGTTCTGAGTGGTCATCATTATTTTTTTGACAGGTAAAGAGTTTGTTGATAGACACTGGTAAGAACAGAGGAAAACTGTTAAATGTGACAGCCAGCGCATATATTATCACTGTTCAAGATGATATGCGGGTTCAGTGAAACTGTGCTGAAGCAGCAAAGCAGGAATTTGAGCTTTACAGAGAACTTGTACTTAAACGTGGTCCTGCAATGAATAATAGATTTCAATATTGATTATCTGTGATTAGATGTTTGGACAAGTACAAAAAGAAAGTAAAAATATGCCAATCAGTTTGCAGATTAGATAATCAATTAATTGTTCCAACTCTTCTGAAATGCACACTTTTAGGTAATGTTTTTTTTTTTTAATCTATAAATTAATCAGCACACTCTCTCAGTTACAGTTACCAGTTATTTAAACAGGTGAATTGTCCTTAAACTGGATAAGTCTTGTTATTGATTAGAGATATTTCCAGGAAACCTTCTTACGGTTTGTTAACTAGCATGTCATCCTCTCCGCTAAACAGGATCAGTCACGGCTACTGTAGGTTTCAAGGTCAATCCCACCCGCTGGATGAGGCCTTTGCGCCCTCAGTTGTCCACATGGGGATCCTGGGGCTGTCCTCTCTCCCAGAGAGAGCTGATCCAGGCAGACAGTCGCGGTGGCCCTGGCTTGTCTCCCAAGCCCGCACACTCTGGCACTACGGAGCCAGGGCAGCAGCCACAGGGCCCGGGTCACTCTGCCAGCTGGTGCCAGACCTCACTGTCTCTCAAGCCAGCTCTCATGTCTGCCATGGGGGCCGTCAGAGGTGACATGAGGTTCTAATAAGGCCGCTAGCTCCTCACCCCTCTGAAGGTGTTAGTAACTCAGGCATCTCCCGCCATGCCCCAGTCACAGCTGCACTCTCAGTCCCAGATGTCTTGTTTGTCATCTTGGCACCTCTGCCTGAGGACAGACATTGATAGACCCTTTGATTGACACATCAGCTCTGTGTGAATGTGTGTGTGTGGGGCTTTTTTTGTAATAGCATATGCTGTTATATGCAGGGTCCGTCTCGTTGAGGATGAAAACCATACGATGCATTTATCTCACTGTACAGTTTTACGCAAAGATATAAGGTTGCATTTGACACACCCAGTTATCATATAACAACATTTCAGTTAACTTTGCACCAACATTTTACCAACCCAGTTGCTCTTTCATTATTTCATATAAAAGAGATAACTATAACCGTTGAGCCAAATTTCTCTAGAGGATGAATTTGCTTGTTGCTGTTTATGAGAATTTTTAAAAATAATTTCCCTTGTGGTATGTTTTTGTCATTCCCACAAAATGAAATTTCCCATTAGTGACTACTTTATTTAGGCAAATAGGGTGGATCTACACTGTCGCTCAGGGAAAGAGAGCACACGTTTCTCTGCCGCAGGACCACTCTTTAATTTTGACTAATACGACAGGTGTATTTTTACGGAAATACTTATTAGCAGCCTTGTCAAACAGCGAACATGTAAAACCCTTATCAAATATTTAGAAATATGCACGTAAGAGCTAAATTAATGAGCACAACTACAGCTCTGTAGGTTGTGCTGGTGGGGAACTTGGAAAGAAATGCAGAAAGTGTAAATTGAGAGTGGAATTGCTACTTCATTTTGACATTGTGAGAGCTTCTTTAAAGGTCAGGGAGTTTTTCAGCCTGGCACAGTGTAGCTGATGCGCTGGTATAGTCACTGATCTGTTGGTTATTGTGTGAGCTGTTATAATGACCTTATCAAAAGCAGAGAAAGTTGGCATCACTCCAGTTCACTGGAAACATGGCCTCCCTTCTCTTTTGCCCTGACATTTGATTTCTCAGAGCAGCTGTAAGATGCACTGGTACAGTGTGTGGTAGAGCTTTACAATACGGAGGCTAATCCTGTCACTGTGAATTACATGAATTAGTCAGGGAGCTAGACTACATGTGTACCACATCTTACTATAGGAGCGGCTCAAATTTTTAAAACCACATTGAGTGTCTTTGTGGGTGTCTTTGACTTGGTGAACCATAGGAAAGCTTTGCCAGCGAACCTCCCACTTGACCTCAAGGATGTCTGTGGTTTTCCACTGTCGCACCAGTCACCCCAGACCAGATGGGGGTGGATAGAGGTTATATTTGTGAATGTCGGTCTTTGTGCTCCAAGGTTTTTTGTGTCACGACTTATCAAATTAAGCCCGACTTCTTAGATGTCCCGACAAAAGGAGAAAAATAGCGCACCAAATAGGAACAAAATACCTACGTTTGTAAGTACAGAAGAGTATTATCGATGTCACCTTTAGTAGTGTGAGCAGAAGCTGGCTTTTGTAGAGGTACTGTGTCTGTGGCTGGGGCAAAGACCAAGTCTCAGGGCGGCTGCTGAGGTTGAAATGAAGCGGTGCCTGGGTCAGCAGCCCTGCACTCAGCACTCTGCCATGCATCCAGGTGGAACAAAGTCCTCGCTCAGCGTCTCATCCTGGGCTTCCTGCTGAAAGGTGACATCTCCATGGCTTAACAGCCACATTCATCTGCTAAAGAGCACACAATTTGTTAATCGTTTTCCCACATGACAGTCCCTGCTTTCCAGTTGGTTAAGTAAACAAACAAATATGTAGGTGAATAAGGGAGCTCTGGTGTTCGGTCAGGGGAGACTAGTGTCAGGTAGAAAGAACTGCAAGTGCTCTAACTGGGTAGAAAGACAGAGTCACAAGCATATCCCCTTATCTGCCTCCATGCTGTGGTCTGCCTTGAGAAAATCAGAATGAAATGCATAATGCCTTTTCTGTTCAGCCAGACTTCCTCAAAGGCTTTATGTGACTACATTTTGTAAGGAAACGTGTTATTTGATTCAGCTTCTCCTGTTTTTGAACCTTGTCATTTTAAGAAATGTCATGTTAGAATTTGCCGTATGAGCTCAGCTAGCATTGGTGCATAGAATATAAAATGACACGAACACAGGCTCCTCTATGTCTAGAGCAGGAATAATGGCCCTGTGTAATTACCTGTAGTGTGAAAGATTTGAAATTCATTTATCACAGTTGGAGTGACCCCACTGCCTGAACGGTTACACATACACTATGCAACACATAGGATTATACTGCATTATACCAGTTAAAATGAGGGTATAGCCGCAAGCTGTGACCAATTAAAGTTGAACAAAGCCAGCTCATCTGCTCAACTCCTCTCTTAGTAGGTCAGTGAAACTGATGGAGAATACAGACCCGTATGCTCCTCTGTAGCTCTAAGCACAGCTTTTACTAGCACGTTCACAGACCGCGTTGTATAATACACATTCGACAAGACTCACGCACCAACGGAGAACATAAATCTGGCTTGAAAAATACAATTTTAAAGCTAATTTAAAAGAAAGCAGCCGTTGCACGACTGAAGGAGAAAACAACTGTCTTTCTATCCTCCCTCCTCATGAATAATGTTTTTAGTTTGAGAAATGAGTGTAGCTTACTGTAAAGAGGTGGTGTAACATAATGACATATGTGAATGGGTCTGAGGCAACCACAGAGACAGAGCTGCAGAGACACGGGACAGAAAGTCACTTTGCAGAGAGGGTTGCGTTACCATTGGAGTGATGTATGACCTGAAGTCCCATCTGAGGGCTCATGTTACAAGGCTTATGCTGCACTACAGAGATAGCTTTCCGTATATGGAGTCAGGGGCTACAGTAATGTATGGACCCCTGTTGTTGCCAAAGCTCTGACTCAGCTCGCTGACTCGTGCCTCTAACCCTGACCTCTGGCCTGATAACTAGACATTTCAGACATGCACTATGTTATTGCAATCATTCTAAAGGAGGAGTGATCTTGTTATCTGTCACCTTGTGTACAGCAGCATTGTTGGTGTTGTTACGTTTCCTCAAGTACCAACTTAGGTGCAATTTTGAGGTACTTTCCTTGAGTCCCATCGATTTTACTGTGAACTGTTATGTGACACTTGGAGTACAGTTATTTTAAATTCAAAATGTATGCATCAGTTTGTAAAATATGCTGCTTTGCTATTGCCAGCAATGTATAACCAACTTAGGAATTTGACTTGTAATTGTATTGCTAATTTCGCTCATTTAAAAAATGTGAATACTGATGATTGCACAATTTACATGGACTGCTGCAATACAAATGCCACATTAACATTTACACTTGCTCAAATTGCATGTAGATGTGGCGATTTCAGTTTTGTTCATTTGACTTTCATCATCATTTGAAATAGATGCTTTATCTTTTCTCCGTGTGTGTGTGTGTGTGTGTGTCCTCAGGTTACCTTCACAAAGAGGAAGTTTGGCTTGATGAAAAAGGCCTATGAGCTGAGCGTACTATGTGACTGTGAGATAGCCCTCATCATTTTCAACAGCTCTAACAAACTGTTCCAGTACGCCAGCACAGACATGGACAAAGTGTTGCTGAAATACACAGAGTACAACGAGCCCCACGAGAGCAGAACCAACTCTGACATTGTAGAGGTGAGTGAGCGCTGCTTTCCAGTTTTGTGATGGACAACTTGTTTCATATTGTGACTTTTTAGCTCGCCGTAGTTTCTCTCCTTTACGAGGAGAAAACACGTGTTCAGATTTGTGAGATTTACAGACCTAATAAATAGTTGCAGCGCTGGAGTCAGACTGTAAAATAAATTAATTCTGCAGCAACAGTTAGCTCGATTTGTAAGCGCCGCAAGATTAACATACCAGAGTAAGGAACGAGTAACAGTTTCCTTCTAGTCACCATTCAGATAGGGCACAGGAGGTCTGCACTCCCTGATAAGTTCAGCCTCTCTTGTGCCCATCAACTGACGTGGAAAACCTATCTCTGCACATGCATGCACGCGGTAGCTGCTGACCACCGTTGCTGACCTTATTTCCCCATATATATCGTACCTGTAGGGCACAGCTCTCTGGCGACTCCTCCGTACACACGGTTAGCTCGGCTATAGCGGCAGTATTTCTCAGCGAAAATACAGTGTTTAGTACATTCCATACAGCTCTATAAAACTCAACAAGCACTTGGGTTTCCTGGCAGCTCCTGCATGCCCAGCGACTAGCGGAAGAGTAAGCCACTTGTTATGCCAGCATACAAAATTGTCAGCCAGAAGTGTAAAAGCCAAAGTAAATGAGAATGATTAGGGATACATCCTGTTCCAAACATCTTGCATTGGCACATGTGTGGTTTCTCAGCTTATTCAAGATCTGCTTTAAGAGGCCGGTATCTTCATGCTGACTAAATGAAAGCACACACAATATATGTTAATGCCTATTGAATGAATCATGACACTCAGTATGAAGTTGCCCATTAATCTTTATTGCTATTATTTGCAATACATTGAGATTATCATTTTCTGCAGTGAGACACTTTTTATTAGACCATGCAAGCTCCTGCATCCTCTGTTTTTTACTGCCACCTGCCCACTAAGACATACAGCATTTTTATTACTGCCGCACAATTAAGAGACATTAAGAGTTTAAGATGGGTGAGACTGAATAAAAAATATCAAGAATCCTAGCTTTGAAAAGACTTTCACTTGGAGGAATTAGTGGAATTACATGCAGCATAAAGGAGTCAGCTGTGGCCCATTATCTTTTATTTATGCTGCTACTGCTTGTGAATTACCTGCTTGGCAGAGCTGCAGAAGAGTGTTCTGGCATCCAGTAGACTCATGCAGTCACTCCTCCATCAGGGGCCCTCAGAGCAGAGCAGGGGCTCACCTGCATAAAAAATACATGGACACATTCCTTACATAACAGTGACCACAAATTTGTTTTTGCTGTGACTCTGGAAGCTGTCTTTTTTAAACGAGACTTTTCTGCAAACACGACACCCCGCGCTCAGAGTTATGGGGTTATTCACCGCCCTGCACTTGGGTCACTCCTCGGGCTGTTATATCACAAAAGTCTGCGTTCTGCTGATGTATGTTAATGCGAACAGCATGGTGTAATTGGAATGTACATTGTGCATAATGTTGCACCAGTGCTCCCATGCTGATTTTCCATTTAGTACTGCTGGCTGCTCTCAAGGAAGCTGCCCCGCTGTACAAAAGGCGAGAACAAGCCACTGTTGTCCCAGCTCACTCGGCCAGCATCTTTGCAGATATGAACAAATCCCCCTCTGCCTGCTAGCTATGTGGTCAAGGTTCAGAAGTGAAGCAGAGCTGAAGTAACCAACCCGGTACACTTCACAACATCACCGCACAATCACACCATTCACTCGGCCGCGGAGCTGCGTATCGGAGGCGGCTGATAATCTACGCAGTTGATCGTATTTTAAGTGAAATCCTGTTTTTCTGACTGCCTCTGCCGGTGAGCACTTTGTGCTTTTCCGCAGCTGCACACATCCTCGCACACCACATGGAGTAGCTGATGCATTTGTATTAATGGTAGGAATCCACCCCTCCCTCGCACATCCACTCAAATGGGCCTCACATGAAGACACTTACACTGGACACTTATCTAAATTTTTAAATTGCGTTAAACAAATCTTTGCCATGCAAACAACCATGTGCTCATTTGTCCAGTTTGGGAGGCAAGAAAAATCCTCTCCCACTTTTCATTGGTAAGCCCTTTTCCGTGTGAGAAACTAAATCAAAGGTCACATTCCTGCTCAGTAGTACCATCTGTAGATAAAGGCTGAGCTGTGCAGTGTGGGAGAACAGTCTCCATGTTTTCCACAGATGGATGCATGCCTTGGCCACAGTTTGATAACCCAGTGGAGGGCTATGGACTTTGTCTCAAACTTGGCTCGCAGTCCAAAGCAGAGCAGTGGGCCTGTGTGTGTTGGTGTGTTGGTGTGTGAGTTTGTGTGTGTCTGCGTGTGTTAACCTTACCAACACACCAGGTGACAGGTGAGCTGTTGTACAAAGCTCAGTTTTTATGCATTCACCTGTGAGCATCAAACACATTTCAGATTTTTTTAAAAATCAAAATCAAAATAAACTTAAGGTAGAAGTTAGTAGTTTATATAAATGTTCTTATTTACTTTGTAAGAAAATCATAGACATGACACGGGTCTGTATTTACCTGAGTGGGAACCAGAAATAGCTCCTACTGGTAATGAAGAAAATAATCTTTCTTGTACTTTTGTAAAACATCAGAACATCTCAGCTGATATCTTCCACTGTCAGCAAGCTTTTTCCACATCATCATCAACATACAGTGATTTCTCTTTGGAAATAATTGTGCTATTTAATACAGACGTGAACTGAGTGGACTATTCATGACTGAAGGTTCTATGCTGCTTTTCCTGTTGTATTTCTTATTGAATTCTGTTTATACCACAAATGAAAATGCTGCTGTTTGTCATTAGATTAATCTAATAATATTTAGTCTTCCTTCCCTCTCCGCTTGTGGAGCTAATGAGATTTTGCTCGTGCTCCACTATAACCTCACACTGTTCTCCTGCACACAGAAAGATCCCTGTTTCTCGAGCAGAAACCTTGAAATGAGATACTAACTTCACAGGCATAATTTGGCATCTGCCTGTCCCCTCCTTTGAGCAATCCAATACAATTAAGGTATATAATATAGATTAGTATTAATCAGGTTTGCAGACACACGGAAGCAGCATTAAGCCAACACTTCACCATAATCTTATAAAATCAAAGGTTGTGAATAGGCTTTAAACCAATTTAGGAATGCAATCTTAGTCAAATACCAATGTAAATAACTGGACTGTGCTACTGTATGTGCCCCAAAAAATGGGCTTTTCACAGCTCCTTTTTGTCTCTTTCACCCCGATGATTTGTGCGAGTAAACACCCCGAGATCATTCATAGGGAAATTCTGCTTATCTTTACTCATAATAAAGAGGGGTGGCCATTGTTATTGTGACTCGGGGAAAAACAGACTATTCCCTCGCCGTTCACGAAGGAGCGGTCCTCGTCTCACAAGACCAACGCTGTGAGAGGAAATGTGCATAAAATTATCAGGTCATTTCCATTAGGTTTATTTGGCGATCAACTTTAAACGGAGCTGTATTAATAAGATATGTAAATGTTGACCATTATTGAATGTCAGGCCCTGGTTTTTTTTTTTTTTCACCCGAATCGTTTTCTTTGTGAATTTGGATCGGCCATTTGTAGACTTTACGGCGACAAAAGCCGTGTACACAATCGTCACAACTTAAGGGTTCAATTTGTCACCACATTCTGGTTCTTATTTGGCTAAACGATGGCGACAATCGCATTGAATGAGACACGGTGCCTCAGAAGTGTACGTCGACTGACTTATGGCTCAAAGAAAAATAAATGTTATCACCAGTTATGGAATGAATCCTTGAGAAAGCTTTGGGCTGAATGGGCACCAGGAGTTTCAGACAGGGGATATTTATGTTCGTCAATCAAAGGCTGAGCAGTGATTAAGGCTCATTTCTATCTTAATGAATGCAAATTGGCACATCTGCTATGGTGGTCTAGCTGTCCAGACTCTTCAATTAGCATGATTGATCAATTATCCTCCTGCTGGTGGCTCATTGGAAATGGAGGCTGGGGAATGGGCCGGTGGGTGGTTAGGAAGAGAGATGAAAGGAAAAAATAAGCAGAAAACTGTCCAAAACCTGCACTCAATGAATCAGATTGCTTTTTTTTCACCCCCCTTATTTTATGAAACCAGAAGAATGGTGGGATTTCATTTTACTCTAAGAAGGCACACATTTCTTAAGAAATGACAGTGATAAGTATAATCCAAAAAGCACAATTTTTTTTTTTTTTACTATCGAACAACTTTTTTAGTTTTCTGACAAAAAATAAGCATTTCCACTTTGGCACCTTGAAAGTGGCTGATGAGAGAACAGAGAGATCAAATCAGATGCTCAGATTACAAGTGGAAAGGTTTGATATTACTTAAACAAACGTGATAACAAAGTCAGCGGTTAATATTTTTTGACAGGCTGCGGCTGCGGCTTTGCTTTTGGCATTCCCGTCGTCTTTACACGAACAAAAACGTCGTTCGCATTTAAATTTTTTCTCACGCTTCATCAGATGAATTGCTGATCAAATTTGTTTTATTTGTGAGAGAAAAGTGCTTTAGCCTCGCAAATATTTAATAGATCAGTACTCAGTCAACTCTGAAGTCTGTCTCGGATATTGTGGTGTGCAGCTTATTTGTGTTGGTTTTAACAGTATGCGCAAATCCCTGAATATCAAAGCGCGCTGGTTAAACCAGTCCAAGTACCACAGGCAGATTATCCTCAGTGTGTATTTATAATTGTACCATACATTACTATTAGTTTCAGACCGTTTACTGCTTATCTTTCCAATTATATTTCATGTACATTACCGCTGAGAATGCATGTAATGTCACATCGTGTTCTTTACTAATTCACTAAACACCGTGCAGTCATTTTCTTTGCAAATTATCTTTCAAACCTCTTTGTATTGATGTGGAAATTAAGGAGATAAATGCAACTTAAAGCCTATATCATGCTTTGGAAAGTAACTGACAGTCATGCATAGTATATGGTGCCCTCCAAAAATACTTAAAGAGCAGAGGGAAACTGATTTTTTTGTTACTTCAGATGTTTAAATTTGAGGTTAAACACACTAATGAGACATAAGTAGGGATCGAGTTTTTATTTTAATTCTATTTATACGTGAATGCCATGTAAACAGATGTTGTTTTAGATATCTAAAAGTTATACAAACCTTTATTTAGAGTACAAATTAAATTTCAACTCAGTTTGAAGATCTTTTTTCTTCCGTAATGCAGAAACTCTGAGTGGTTGACCTGTTAGGTAAACTAGTATAGGACAAGTTACATTACAGTAACTGAACAGTGTTGTATACATTAATTTACTACACTTTAAGAGAAGTCTTTACTATAAATACTTAGATATTTAGATAAATTACTGCAAAATTTTACCTCTGTGGTTTGTTAGTACGTGGTCTTTTGTCCTTTTAGACTTCTATTTCAATTACAATAATTATTTTATAATCCGAATATATGATCAGTTTGTATGTCCATGCATTATTCTTCTGAGCTCCAGGCAGTTTCTGGGCGTTTTGTCACATTTCTACTCACTGTGGACTCATTTTTACCACTATTCTATAAAAACAGGCCAACTAAGGCTAATAATAGAGAGAACTGAAAACTCTTTTTGTAATATAGCAAAGTTATAAAACCTTAAATCACACAAAAGTAAAAAAAAAAAAACAGAACTAAAGATAAATTTCGTGATTATGTTTTTTTTTTAAAGAAATAAACAACAACATAGAATCAACATGTACGTTTTACCAAGTGCCCACAAATGTTACCAATACTGGGGGAAAAGGTACTGAAACATTTAACAACATTATTAATTTGTTTCCATGTGTTCACTCCTATTTGCTTTGTGTAAACAGCTGCAGCCTGCAGTTTGAAGTTTTTGTCACTGATTGCATCTGGTTTGAGCAAAATGAGACGTTTAAAAAAGAAAAAGAAATATTACTATTTTTTAAGCTTAGATGTAGTTCTTTACTGATTGTACGTAAGTGGTGTAGTTATTACTATTATTATTATTGTTGTTGTTTATGAATTCTAATCATTAAAATAATAATAAGACACATGAACAGAGGATTTGCTGCATAAACATAAAATTCATTCGTTCATATTACAGCTAGTTGGAAGTTGTAATGAAGCTTGATGCATTTCTGAAGCTGTTTTGCGTCATGTCTGCAGACGCTAATAATTTCTTATCTCTTTTTTCTTTTCTTTTTGCTGTCGTGTGCTTCTAATGCTATTGTCTATATTTGTCTGTTTGTTCTGAAGAAACTGACGCTGTTGTTTCCAGAAACACAAACAGCATCACTTCCTTTCCAACTGAGTATTTTTCTGTGGAAAGACTCAACTCGCTATGCGTTTGATTAGGGGAGCACTTGACTTGCTGATGGGGCACGGGCAAAATTAAACAAGGCGGATGCTTTGTCTGTTTGTCTTTACGTTCAGTGAACAATCACAAGAGTGTGTTTGTGAATTTTAAAAAGGCTCATTTGAGTTTCAGTTTTTCTTTGACTTTTGACCTGCGGCTGTGAATCGGCTGCACTGCTCAGGTCTCCACTTTGTCCCCGGTTCTTCGTGGTTTCTTTAATGATCAGCGAACACAGAAGAACAAACTGCAAATGCTCAACTCCATAAACATTTATAGAATAAGCTTCATCTGATTCATAGTATGTCAAATAAGATGATTGCATTGACACTTTAAGCACATTTAGACAGCTAACCTTCCCACCTTTTTCTTCTAACCTTCTGATCAAGTTAGTCCACCAGCTCTTTTTTATTAGTCTTTGGTTAGTGGTTCAGAGATTCTGCTGGTGTTGATCACTGCTTTATTTCTTCTTTTTCCTCAAAACGACAAGGCTGCCATTTTAGGAAATGCAGACTACCAAGCATGCTGCATCTAGTGTAGATTACAGCATGCTTCTCAATGTCTGACTGGAATATTTGTATATAATTTTATTATCTGCTGTGTTTACAGTGGCTCAGAACGGCAGCACAAAGGGCCCAAATTCAACAAAACAATTTGCAGATTCCATTTGTAATTTATATGACGTCAAAGTGAACAGCTTTGATTTGTGTGGAATTTTGACTGAAAAGAGGCAAAACAAGCTAAAGTTTGTCCGTTCTCTGTCGTGGATGGTGTACAGGAACCCTGCTAAATAGATAAAAGAAAACACTTCATTGTTTCTATATAAAGCTTCGTATCCACCTCCAGCTCTTCATCAGTATCTTTCTACCTCATTCTTCTCTCCCCGACTGCGCCGTCGTCATCCGTTTTGGAGTTTCGCCACGGAGCTCGCAGCAGCAATGATGAGATATCCCTTTTAAGCTAAATCAAATGCCATTGCTGTTGACATAGATTTATTGGGTTGATGTTGATTTTCCAGGGCTTTTCAATATATGTGAAATTTTCAGCCAGCCCCATTTTTAATATTACAGAAAAATATGTGCACTTTTGGGCTCCTATGATTTATTGGAGGGATATTAAAATTATTTTTTTTATACTTTTATTAACTGTAGGTCACATACAGTACCAGAGATTACCTTAAATATGATATTAATATGCTGTGCACCTTTTTTTTTTTTTTTAAATTAATGGATATTCACAGTAAGAACTCAGCGTGGTTTTTCTTTTCGTCTTTCGTACGTTGCTGCATACATCTGAAACCTGTCAGTCAATCTGTTGTCCCTGGAGAGGACGATAATGTAACAGCAGAGACAGCCATTAATTGGTGTTTTTGAAATCCTGCGACTGCCTCTTCATTTGGCGCACATGTAAACACGACATGCTGTGAACACGAGCTCCTTCCTTTTTTCCGCGGCGTTTTGTGTACCTGCGAGCGGACGCTTAACCTTCGGGGTCAGTGTTTCAGGCCGGGTCAGCGCTACTGTTCGCTTGTGCCGCCTGTCAAAACAAACACACTGACTGTTCGTACAGCACCAGCGTCTATTTCCAGACTAGTGCAGTAGGACAAGATAAAAATAAATGAGAACTCACAAATGTTATAGTGGAAACAGAGAGATGAGTTATCTTTGACCAGTGGAATACCTCTGGGTATGTTACACTTATAGCGTGGTTTCGCTTGTATAGCGCCCATCAGTCTTGCGTGTCGAG